ATTTAGTAAAATATAATAATTTTATGTTAATATATTATCAGATAATATATATTTTAACTTGGTGAATTTTTTATTTTAAAAGTAATGCTGAGCATCTCTTGGATAATAAAAAAAAGGCTTGTTTTGATCATTTTCCGTGTTTTGAGTTTTTAACTGAAAACACTCAAAACGGAAAAAAATCGTTTTGAGTTTTCAATTATAAATTTTTCCTTGTTTTCAGAAGTGCATTTTCGAAAACGAGTGACCAAATACCTTTTGGGCATTTTCAAAAACAAAAAACAGCTGGAAAACGGCGAACCAAATGCGCTCTTAGATTTTTCAAGTTTAATAGGCAAACCCATAAATTATCTACTGAAATTTTGGGGTTAGGGTTTGAGGGTGTTCTTTGTACCATTTGAATTAGGGTAGCTGTGATTGTCGTTGATGACAAAGGCAACAAAAATTGCTAGTTGAAATAACAAGAGTGAAAACAGCTAGATTTGAACAATCAATTTCCTTTTACTTTGCTCGAGAAATGGTTTCTTTATTATGTAGCTTTAAGGAGAGGAATATTTGGCTTGACAAACTCGTTTACTATTGTAGAAGCTAAAGGTTGGTGGTGCCGACAGTGAGTGGCAACGTCAGTAGTAGCTGACTTCTCAAGGTGAGGGTGGGGTTTTTGAGGGAGACAACCTTTTATTTTATTTTTCATTCCTTCCCTTTTAGTTAATATTTTAATTATTTAAGTGGAAATATTGTAAAGTTACAATTTTGCCCTTTGTAGATTTGGTCAAAATTGTTTTATTGAGTCAACTAATGGTCAATGAATGATTTTTCATCCATTTGGACTTTGGTTGTGAATTTTTTAAAGGTTTGGTACTTTCGGTGGTACAAATGAGATATTTGGATCAAGTTTGCTAATAAATGAAATATTTGGTTCATTGACTGCAATTTTTCCTTATAAAAGAATGACATCGTGCATAATGAAGTGTTATGATGGACAACAGAGAGTGCGTTTTATTATCTTTTGTGTTTAATATCAATCTAAGTGTCTGAATTTTTAATGGTTCGATGAAGTTAAGTTGTTTTCTTTATTTATTGGATAAGTTAAGATTGATCTTTACCACTGCCTGACGGGTGTTAAGTATCTCTAGTAAATAACATTTTTCAAATGTAATGATTTTTTTTTTTTTTTAGGTTTGAATTTTAATGTAGTAGATGAAAATATTAAAATGGATTTATGATTACATCATATTAAGAGCTTGTTTGGTATAGCTTAAGAGTCAATTAAAATCAATTTTTCGATCGTTATTACACTATTCCAACTGTCATTTTTAAATTCTTTTTTCACAAATAGAATCAACTTTATCTCTAACATTCAAAAAATCGATTATTAAAATCCCTATCAAATAAGTACTAAATAAGATAATAAATGAGAAATGCAACAAATTAAGGTGGTTCCAAACAAAAATTAATTCGAGTACACCTAAAGATCTTCTACTGACAGCATATTAGAATGGAAACATGTAGACCAAGAACTTATCAAAAATAAAGTTGAATTTGTTATTGTTATTTTATTATTTGTTGAACTTCGTAATTAGATTCTCCTCTCAAATCAACAAAATATTAACTTTTTCTTACATTAAATTATATATGATGGAAATTCAACAAGACTAAGCTGGTATGATGACCATTATTTGAAAAAATAATAATGTTTTGAATAATGAATTTTAGGAGAATATGTGATTAAAAAGTAGGAAAAAGTTTTGAATTTACGTACAAAATATTTTATCTTGTGAAAGTTTGATTGAAAATAAGTATGTAAAAAAAAAAAAAAATGTTTTCAAATAATTGTTGTCAATCACGGGCTAAAGTACTTTTACCCTCTTCTCATGTACACATATCTAGTTATCATTATAACTAACCATTTCATACCCTGTGTTTCAAAGAGAAGATTCAATTTAACCAATTTTGAAAGAAGGAAAAACTTGGGTAATTAAGCACGATTTAGTTTCAACCAAACTTATTGATAAAGAGGGATTGTGTTGACTAAGAGTAATTAACATAAAACGTTCCTACCTTTTACTGTTATTGTGTAAAACATCACTACCTTTCATTTTCTGGCACTTTCACATCTACCTTTCACATTTCTTTGCACAAAATGTCATTTTCATCCATTTTTTATGATTTTACCTTTCTATTTAAATAAAACAAAAACAAAACAAAAGAAAAACAACAAACTAATTGCAACCAGAGCCCCAAATTTTCAAAAAAATTACAAATGAATTAAAAAATAAATTCTTAAAAAAAAATATTCTTAACCCACCAAATTGGAGAGCATTGAAATTTTGATAAATTTCAATAAATTATATATTTGAATATATGATTTTATATGTAAGAAACAATGGTTTTAAAGAAACAAAAATCAACATAAAAAACCTCCAAAAACTAGGGAAAAAATTAGTGGGTTTTGTTTATTTTTTCTTATTTTGAGTGAAATGAAAACAATTTACAGCTATGGCAATATCAACAGCTTCTTTCTAAATGTTCTCTTTCGTATCGGCGCTTTTTATGATGATTTTCTTATTGGAGGTGGTGGGTCCAATTGAGGACTTTCGGTCTTCTGAGGATGTCGGCGACGAAGCCACGAGTTTTTCGTCATCGCTTATCTTTGACTCTTCGTTCATTTGCTTTAATTTACTTGATTTCTGGATCCAAAATTTTGATTTAGGTTTATTGGGAACTTTCGATTAAGATAAAAAAGGACAAGTGACAGCAATGTATGCAAGTGGTCTTCGAATTTGTAAAGGTTTTATAATTTTATTTGCAATTCTGATGGCAGGCAACAATAAAGATTTTTTTTTTTGTTTAGTTTTGATTTTTAAGAATATTTTTTTTAACTCATTTGTAATTTTTTGAAATTTTGGGACTTTTGGTTGCAATTAGTTCATTGTTTTTTCTTTTCTTTTGCTTTGTTTTATTTGAAATGAAGGGTAAAATAGTCAAAAATAGATGAAAATTACCTTTTGCACAATGAAAAGTGAAAGGTAAGGGTGAAAATGCCAAAAAAAAGAAAGGTAGAGACGTTTTGTGCCAATTACCGTTTTGACTAATTAGGTCCATTAGCTAAAATTTTTGTTCCATCATAGTTAATTTAGGATCATCAAGTGTACTAGTTTCATTGTCGAACATTAATTGAGAATCGACCCTTGATTTACCAACTACCTTCATTATAGTTGCCTTTAACATAAGTCAATCATATGCGTCAATATATCTCCATTTCTAAAGGGTCGCAAATCCATCCACGAAAGTCAAGCCTTCTATGTCGCCCACAACTGATCTCAATCCACATTGAATTTTTCATTGATATCTTATATTGCAATGTCCACAGTGCAATGCTTGCAACTCATTGCCTGCGTGTTGGGCAACCTTCCCATATCATGCACCATGGATCAAAATCCCATCTAAAACGCTACTCAACGTTGCTTTGATTTCATGCTTAGAATTGATGTAGTGCAGAAAATGCTCACCTCAAAGGACAGATCCAAACATTGAAATATTTTATAACTTTTTCCTACTTCAAATTATCGTGTAGTTAGGATTGAATTGTGCTAGGAACAAAAGACTCGCTCTCTTCTCATGTATGCATTTTTAGTTATCAATACAACTAAATGTTACACATCCTATTATTTGAGGAGAAGAGAACATTTAATTTAATCAATATTGTCACTTTAGAACCATTTGGTCCACTAGTCTTTTCTTCGAACATTATTTAGATTCCATGTCAATAATCAACTACCTTCATTATAGTGGCCTTCTGCACAAGTCAATTTTGTTCATTAACATCAATACGATCCATTTCCAAAGGATTGAAATCCATATGTATGCCTTGCTCCAATACCACTTGACACTAAACCTTTGTGCGACATTCAGGGCACCCCATGCCAAAGCTCAAATGCCCCTAACCAGCCTTCCATCCATAGGGTTGGAAAAGCTCGACATAAGCATACACATAAAACTTTGGATTGGATATCGTGATGATATATTAACATGATGAAATCCTTGGTACATGTTCGATAGTTAGAGCAACAAAGAAGTTATAGCAAACTTGCCAGACAATTTGAGTATGGAAAATCCGCTAGGTGGACCTTACTCCCACCCAAATCTATTCCCAGGGCACTCCATTATATAGCTAGTAAACCTGACACAAGCGTGCAATAAAACTTTGGACATGATACAGAGATAATACATGTATATGATTGCATCGTTGGCATATGTTCAACAGTACGAGCAACTTAGAAGCTATGACTAACTTGATGAACGCTCTAAGTGGGGAGAATTTGCTAGGTCTAACCCATACTCCCATCCAAGTTTGTTCTCATATCATAATGTCTACAATTGATCTCAATCAATATCGAATCTTTCATAGATATCTTGTACAACAATGTTGCATGCTTGTTACTCAAATTACCTCCATATTGGGCAACCTTTCCATGTCATTCATGCACCAGGGTCCAAATCCCACCTAAAAAACTATTCAACATTGGTTTGTAGAAGGATATAATTATCAATTATTCACTTTAATAAGTGCATTTTTAATTTTTTACATGGCAAACAAGTACCATCATTATCAATTTAGATCAAACTTGATTTTTCCATAGCCTTGGGGGATGGTGACACCAATTGAAATGTCAAATCTAATCACATAATTCCTGTCCCATTTATCTCTTTCTTTAATTATTACTCCCTTTAACCCTCCCCTAAGCCTTCTTTTATACTTTCCTATGTCACTCAACCTTCACAGCCTAAATCCCCATTATGCTCCACTCACATCCCCGTCAAACATACTCCTTCACAGCCCTTTTAAAACCACTACTCAATTATTATCCTTACACGTGTCATCATATCATTCCACCTTCTTATTCAATATTTTAACCGTATATTTTCACTTAACCATGGTTAAATGAATTCTAACCATGGTTACACCACTTCCTCAGTAGTTTATATATACAAACTGAAACGCTTTGGTGATTATCCATAAAAACTCCATAACTGAAAAATGATGATAGGAGAAATGAACCGTCCAAGTCCGACCGTCCACGTTCCTCCATGGTCATTAACCTTAGAGAATCCCACCTTCTCTTTGAGCCCTAAGGCAAATGGTAATGGTGGCGTCGATGATTACTCCGTTTTCTTCCAGAACGATTCTCTATCGGCGTTGAAGCCTTATTTACAGTCCTGCGCAAGCGAATTCACGGCTGATTTGTTGGAGATGGAGAACTGGAAGGGGGATTTTCCGGTGGACGCTCACTCTTGCGATAATTTTCGGATGTTCGAGTTCAAGGTGAGGAAATGCGCTCGTGGCCGGTCGCATGACTGGACGGAGTGTCCGTATGCTCATCCGGGTGAGAAGGCTCGCCGCCGTGACCCAAGGAAGTTTCACTATTCCGGCACGGCGTGCCCGGAGTTTCGTAAAGGGAACTGTAGAAAGGGTGATGGTTGTGAGTTCGCACATGGCGTATTTGAGTGCTGGCTTCACCCGGCGCGCTATCGTACGCAGCCATGCAAAGATGGGATGAACTGTAAGAGAAGAGTTTGCTTCTTTGCCCACTCACCTGACCAGTTACGAGCTCTGAGCCCTCAGGGCGAGTCATACGACGGCGGTTCCCCACACCGACTAGCTTTTATGTCGTCTTCGGATTCTGGGTCGCCGACGACTGAGTCTCCGCCGATGTCTCCAATGACTAACTCGGCTAACCAGCTGAGTCGGTCTCCGGGTTCCGGATCCATCAACGAAATGGTGGCTTCTCTACGCAAGCTGCAGCTGAATCAAGTGAAGTCCATGCCATCTCCTCTAAATCGGCAAGTAGGTTCTTCTTCAGGTCTAGGTTCGCTCTCTTTCCCCATGAGTCGACCCGGGTACTGTAGCCTGCCCACGACTCCGACTCAAGCCGTCTCTCGGTCAGGGATTGGGTATTTCGATTCCTGGGATGAGAACGACGTGTCTGAAGAACCCATAATGGAGAGAGTCGAATCAGGGAGGGATTTGAGGGCGAAGATGTTTGAGAAATTGAGCAAGGAGAATCCTCTGGACCGAGACGCTAAGAACCCGAATCCTAATTGGTCTGATGCCCCAAACCCAGATGTGGAATGGATCTCGGAGCTGGTAAAATAGAAGATTTCCATTTTCCAAGCAATTGTCTGGTCTTAACTGGTAAAAATTATTTTTGATGATTTTATCCTAATTATGGAGGTCAATTTTTGGGTGGAAATTTGAAGGTTGTGCATATAAATTTGAGCAATTCAGCAGGGTCTGTCAGAAATTGAATAGAATGTGATGATGCGGGTGGAGTTTTGAATCTCTGATTTTTGGGGCACAAAATCTCAGGCAAGAAAATATCATCACACTTTGAAAGTCTCCTCTGTGTATACAAGACGATGGCTGCCTGAGGAAGAGAAAGAGGTGGCCAGATGGTCGAAATTATGTACTTTATTTATCTGAATATTGTGAAGAGTATTCCATAATTATTATTAATCATTTCGGTTCTTCTATTAACTGGCGGCTATGTTTGTAAAATTTGATGTGCAGTTGGAAGTATTAATATTAATAATTAATTTCCATTAAATTTTTTAGCTTTCTGAGTCTGATGAGGGGAGACAAATGTGTAAAGATATGTTCGGTCTTGAGTGAACTCTTGACAACGGACCTGAACAGGATAAGAAAGCGAAATATTAAAGAGGAGTTAAAAATTCTGTGTTCGTGTTTGTTCAGAGTTGCGCGTTGGGTACAATTTCTCTTTGAGTCTTCAACTGCCAAGCATGCTTTAAAATGTGTGAATCGAGCCGGGTTTGGGCCGATTTGGGTTTTGTTGCAGGCTGGGTTTGTGTTCACATGGAACAGGTTTACCAGGTTGTTAGTGCATTTCGTGTGTTTTGGGAAAATTACCGAAAGCCGTGGTTTTTAAAATTTTAATATCATAAATCAGGTCATAAGGATTCTTTTTACGAAAATCAGGTATTATTTAAACACGCTCATTTCTTTCTCTCTCTCTCTCTACCCTAAAATCTGCACGTCATGAGGAAAAACTTAGGAAAGGCAAAGCCAACCACCGCCTTCAGAGAAGACCGCCGTCCCGACGTAGTAACTCCTCAATTCAAGCCAATAAATTTTCATATTATTTTTTATAATTGGAATTTCACAATCATTTCAGGTTCTTGAGATCTTTGTGTACGTGCTTTTGCTGTATTTAATTAGAGGTAGTTGCGAAGGAATTGGAGCTTTTGGTTTAAATTCAGGGCTTAATGGTGCCGTTCTCCTTTTCTTCCTGAATTTCTGTTTCGCGCGGGTGGTCGCTAACAATTAAAAAAGGATCAGACGATTGTGTAAAAAACAAACCTCTTAAAATAAAGTTCCAAAAAAGCGTGTTTTATTGACGATTGATTTACAATTGGAACTAAATAGAATGCCTCCAAGGAGTGCAAGCATATGAGTACTGAAAGAAATGTTTAAATTTAAACTAAGAAATTGAAATTACATATTCTCTGTTTGAGAGTTTGATTCGAGGTCCTCTTTTGCTCTATGTCTTCTCTTCCTTTTATATTCCCTTGATGATTTTTTCGTGATCAACCGCTTAGAAACTACTTGATTGTTTTATAACTACCCACTTTCTTTATGGTGGCTAACTTGTCGTGGAACTGCCGTCTCTAACTGCTGTCACTACTCTTTGTAGTTCAACCGTCTTCAACTGAACTCCTTGAATCGTAGAACGTGATAAGGTTACTCAATAACTGCTTTAAGAACTACATTCTTGGATAACCATAACATTTTATGTTTGCTAAGATCCTGGGCGATTCGAAAGTATGGGTGAGAACAGAGTCATCGCTCTGGACGACTGTAAGGCACTCCATTCGCTTAGATCTTGGGCGTCTTGCAAGTTTGGACGATGATGTTACTGCATTCGTGGGCTTCCACTGCATTTATTAATAACCCCGTCTGGGCCTTTATCCTGAATTACCCAATTGAGTTTCATTCTTTGGGCCATTCGATTTGGGCTACACTTTTAGCGTGTTAACAATTACCCCCCAATATGGCAGAATTAATATTAATTATTAATTTTTACCATATTTATTTTGTGTTTTCCCGCAACATTTGAAATTCCCAAAAATTTCAATCATTACTTCCTTCCATGGCCTGAAATTTGCGACGTTGCAAACCCTTATAAACTTCAAAGACACGCCATTTCATCACACCACTAAATCACGTCTCATTATTTCGCGTTTCTTTCTCGCAATATTACTATTCATCTTCTTCAAAAACTTGATCGGTATTAAATGGCACGCCGCAAGTGCACGGGTCGCGATCAAGTAGTATAATGGACCTTTTAAGTCCCAGTCGATCCCTCAGAGAGTGTTGTTTTCAATTACGAGTGTATTTGTTTCAAATTAACGAAAAAGATACACACATTTAAAAGTTCAATTTTAAAAACTATAAAAAGGCGAAAACTCGATTTTGATTTAAAATACTTAAATAATACTTGAAAAGTGGAAAAGTTTGATTTTAAAAGATGTTGGAATTTATAATTTCGCTTAACTTTTTTCAAACCAATCATGCGTAGATGCAAATTACCAAACTATGTGGTTAGACCCGATTTTTCAAAATTAGTCAATAACCTCTGTCGAGCGATATCAACCCGAATTGCTTGGCATTAACATATTTCTATGTCGTTCTAAACCAAACAACTGCATTCAATTTTTGTGAAAATAACTCAACGGGTCACATAGGGTAGGTATACATGTCTGGATACCTAAACGCGTATAGTCGAAACCATACAAACCTATGGTATTAATTATTTCGGTCCATTATGTGCAACTATTTTTCAATAATTACGCAACTACCTAACCACAACATCTATTGACGTCAAATAAATGTAGTAATCTTAAACATGATAATTAATACACCAATAATTTGATAACAAATGCATATCTAACAACATATAACATGATATTAATGAAAATAGGTTAAGCTAATACATAAATTTTAACATAAACTTGTTTAGTTCATCATTCTAACAAAATAACAAAGAGATTCTCATAAACATATCATTACAAATATGAAGAACTAAATGAAAGGAATACAAAAATTGAGATAAAACCCTTTTAAATACGAATTGTAATCCTTCAATGTATTCTTCAAGCTTTCCTTAATGATCTCCTTGCTATATCCACTTGATTCCCAAAATAAAA